TGCGGTCAGCCCACCGGTTCTAAATTCGATCGTTTTATCGCTCGCTTGTTGCTACACCCAATTCTCCTTCGTACTTTTCGTATGAAGGCGTTACATATGTAAATGTTTCTTTACTTAAATGAAATTCGAAAAATTCGTAACTGCACATCGAGCTACCGTTACAGATGCCATTAATGGGAGACCCCATAGGTATGCTATTGTTAGTAGGATTTATTTTTAAATTTGATAAAATTAACTTATTCAAAAGACTCCAGATCGTCTACACAAATTCACCTTAAGCGCAAGGGCAGATAAAGTGAAACGGATGATTGTGAATTCTAACAATATCTGTCATTCTTATTTCAAATAGGACGTGGAGTACGATATAAAATGAAGTTCAGAACATATGACTGTTGCTATGGAAACGACCGCGACGGCACAACTTTTTGACGTCTAAATTAAATTCAGAATTGTCAGAAGCATTACAATGTTTTTATTTATATGGATTCTGCTATAAAATAAAGTTTTGTATATTATACACGACGAGAAAGGGAAACTAAACACCGCGCGAAAGTTAATTCACTCAATGGTTAAAATAGCCCTTTATTGTCATACATAATAAATAACTATTAGCTAATAATGTAAAATAACCGTTTTTCATATATGTTGACATTGAGAAATTTCCGAAGACTAGTTTATTATTAAAAAATGTTTATTTAAATGCCTTAGCTAGATTATTCTTGAAAATAACGGTTTCTGCTAATACACGCCTACTTTTTAGCGCATCAAGATATTTGGATCGTTCCTTTTGCATTCGGTAGCTTATAACTCTGGCACCTCAAGCAAGAAAAGTCTTGATTATTAACGTGCACCTGCGCAGGCTGCGCAATTGCAGCATCTTCTAGTAAAAGCAAACATATCGCATATTTCATACATCAGGTGTGCTTATTTATAATTTATGTCAGAACTTATTTTCCTTTGTACACATAAATATTCCGTTATAATATGACCTTTCGAGAAGTACTGATTCATTAATGGAAAATGCGCTAAAGTTAATTCCTTATGGCGGAAACCTTTTTCTCATTTAATCCCTTTACCTTCACTGATCTGTACTCAATTTCGTTTTTACTACGCTACTTCAATCCTAGTACACATTATACAACTTGGAAATTTTAGAATATGCCACTTGAATTCTTTTTACAAACAATTAAACGAAATCGTTTATAAGCAGAATTTGAATATGACATTATTTTATAAAAAATGTGTTTAATTTAATGATGAAATGACTTATTAACGAGCGACCCAGAGCTTGTTCATGATTTCGGACTTTCTGTCCGTGCGTCCGTCTGGATACATGATAACTCGCGAACGGTTTCGTATTTTCCAGTTCTGTTCCCAGTAACAGATAAAGGAACTAACTGATAAAATTTTGGTTATTTGGACTTTGTGTCCGTCCGTCTGTGTTGGTCGCTCGTTGTCTATATTGACCTGAACAGTTTATTTTTGCTTTATGATGTTCAACTTCATATATTTAATGCCTATTTAGCATTTTTAATTAATAATAATTTCTTGCTCATTTCTCACTCGAAAATGGTGAAAATTATAGGCACTTTTGTCAAAACCATGTGACCATTTCATTTTAATCATAGAGAAATCAAACGATAAAGTTTCACGATTAGCAGACAAAAATTGAATTTTCAAAAAAGTGTCCTTAGTCTTCTCTAATCCAACCACTTGTATTACTTTATTGTAAATTAAATTATTTGGGTGATACAAAATTGAGCCACAAGGGTTTTTATTTAGACATTCGCCCGTAAAATTTGTAACTTTGCCTCAATTCAGTATAATAACCAGTGAGGCACAAGAAAGGGGCACGCTGAACAAAGTGGAAATTGTACGAGTAATAAAATGATAGCTACCTACATGTAAAAATTGCGATTGTAACAAAAGGATGTAGTTGTACAATATTCTAGAAAAATGTATAGGTGAAGTAGTTAATTTAGAGTAACTAGTCGTACACACTCAAGAGTTTGGGAGTTTGGAATACGCGCAATTTTATCGCACGACAAAAAATCAAAGAGCACCACTGTCACAAAGTTTGTTTCTTTTAATATTTTGATCATAAAAAGGCATGAACATTTGCGAGTTTGCCAATGCTTGTTTTAATATTCGGTGCAGGACAATAAATTCTATAAATTTGCAATGTTGGCATAAATATATTCGTAACGCATGATACAACTCTGCATGAAAATTGTGTCGGAAATTCGGTTAAAGGGCCATTTTAAAGACATGGTTAACAATAACCCCTAGGGCCGGTTATTTTTTATTTGACTTGCAGAAAATTTAAACAATCAATATCTGGAATAAAAAGAAGACCTTATCCGCGGATCTCTCTCCTTTACAAAACGTTGAATTGCGTCGCCGTCCCTACAAAATAAATAGTTTGCATTTGTAAAACCCTTTTCATCGCGTTTACAATTCGAGAAGTGTAGGTTATCCGGGATAGCATACGACCAGGAAGTTTTCTTGTTAAACACCGCCCTTGAACTTTTAACCCTCATTCAATATTTATACATTTACAAATTATTTTTGCTTATGAGCTTCCAATAATGGAGGTGAAATTAACTCGCATTTTTTGTTATATTATTACGCAGAGAGAAGAGCCGGGAAAACGGAAAATCAATTTCAGGCGTGACCTTCAAACACGATTCCAACTGTTGCTCCGAAACTCTACAAGTACAATAAACGCAACAGGTTTATGCAGACTTATTTATTTTCTGGTTGACGGGGATGCAATTGCATTAGGTACTAATATAAAAACGATATGAACACGATCGATACAGTTTGTAATTCTAAATGTGATATTTGCATTTATTGTGTGTACGGTTTCTGGGGACTTTAAGGAATTTAATAAAAGAAAAAGTGCCTACTTCTCAACTTCCAAGAATATTTTTATTACGTTTTAATACTTGAAATTTCGCAACAAGAATACTCTGGCCCGGATTGCTAGGTTATTACAGCATATACTAAGAAGCTGTCTTTTTTCAAATCATTACGTTGTATATTTTCTTGTAAATTGAACAAAATCGTCTCCTTCGTAGACTTGTAATTGGTCCTTTACTGAAAATAATAGACTGGAGTGCCAACTAAGGGCGGGGCCGATCCCCGATAATTATCATATGTTTGATTAGTTAAAACTATTGAAAATTTGACGCTCTACAAACAAGAATAGGGAAGCTTTTTCCGTAGGACGCAAAGAAAACAACATATTAAACAAGTTGTAAATCACCATACGCATGATGAAAACGCATTTTTGATAATACAGATCAAACTCAAAATGGACTAGCGCTTGCACACCTACACTCGAGCTATTGCAATTGCTGAAATCTCAGTCGGACAGTCAGCCAGACAGCCAGCCATAACGATTATAAAAAGTTAATGAGGAAAAAACCGCAGCTATCAAATTTTGCAGTTTTCCCCCTCCTTCTCTTTTCGAGCAGGGTCCACGAGGTCGACAACTTGAGAAAATGCCATCCATAAACAACATCCCAAAGTTTCATTAACTTCCGATCTTTTTCACCTAACGCTACTTTCTCAAATGCTTTAAATTCTTCAAATCGTTTATGCGGATGTTTTAATATTACGCAAACCTATTTCTTTTTAAAAAGATCTGAGTCTGTCAAATAAACTTGGTGACCTGTTTCAAACAAACTTGGTGACCTGTTTCTGGTAAACATACCTTTTTTAATTTTAACAGGTCTGTTGTACAATTCAATTTCTTTTAAGCTGGCCTGTTCAGAAGCGCTTCGCGTAAATTTCGTCGTAGAGGTGTCTCTAGCCTCCTGATAACGAAAGTTCGAACCTTACTTCAGGCATTCGCAGGCAGTATGTCTCTACTCACTACTACCCTAAATGACTTAATTACTTATCTGCTCCAATACAAAAACAAGCATATGCATTAGGGCGAAGAGAAAATGATCAATTTGTTTTTAGAAATGGGGACGCCTATACAGGGTGGTGACTTGCGTCACGCATCATAGGGATTTTAATGTAAAATTCATAACGTGCCATTATTGGCTCCCCAAATTCCTTTAGAGCAAAAATGTATTAAGGTTTTTTGTAGAAAAAATTTTTTTACGTCAATCAACTGTATTAGTTTTCAATTTTTTGCATAATAAAGACGGAAAATTGGAAAAATAAGACCCCATCTTTTTCAATAATCTGTGATGCCATGGAATTTTATAATACAAAAACTACGCCAATATCCGTCATGCCATGGAATGTCTGCTATAAAACAAATCAAATTCTATCAAAAAGTATTATATTTAGAACAGCGAATTCAACAGAAAGAAAGACCAAATTACTAAAAACGGTTTCCTAATATAACAATTTACAATAAATGTTCGAATAAGTCACCATTAACTACAATACAGTACCTAACCAAGTCGATCATAAAATCCATTTCGAACTGCTGCTAATTGATAAGTGGATATCTTTTTGTTTTAGAAAATTCCATGGCATCGCAGATTCTTGAAAAAGATGCGGGTTTTATTTTCCAATTTTCCGTCTTTATTATGCAAAAAATTGAAAACTAATACGGTTTATTGACGTGAAAAATTTTTTTCTACAAAAAACCTTAATACATTTTTGCTCTAAAATAATTTGGGGAGCCAATAATCGCATGTTATGAATTTTACATTGAAATCCCTATGATGCGTTACGCAAGTCACCACCCTGTATATAGAAAAGTTGCCTTTACTTCGAAAAATGTGGGTTTGACTTTATCTTTGGCTGCACAATTGGCTCTAAAACAACATGTAAATTGTGCCAAAATTGTATGCAGCTCTACGCTTATTTCCTTCAAAATGATATTTAATTTATTTTTTAAAAAGAAAATAATCCAGAACTCACCATGGGGAGATGGCCGCACATCGAGTTCCACCCGCCCACCGTCCACCTTAGATGCTCATATTTTTTTATTGGTTTAAAACTTTTAAATATTGATTTTTTGTTTCAGAGACTGGTAGTGCGGTTCTAGACGCTATTTTAGACCTTATATAGCCATCACGTGCATCAAAACGGCAGAGCGCAGTTGATGCTTCAGCGGATAATTTGACGCAACGTTCTATAGCTTGTGAATGGCATGGGAACTCTCACTTGGAACTTCTGAGATCATTCCTTTAAACTACCGTCGAAAATCAATACTGTAAGTGGAGGCTGACTAACCGTAACTGACTGCCAATCAATCAAGTCAATATAGTCTATAGCTTGAATTTTTAATAAAGGTACTCTCAACTCACGTACTTTGAACTCCAATAATTGTTTATTTTTTCTACATTTTAACAGTCTTCTTAAGCCTAATTCTCTTAGATTTGGAGTATCGGCCAGCATATGACAACATCGTTGAATAGAGAATTAAAAGACCTTTCAACTGATATACTATAAGCCTCTACCTCTTATTTAAAATTTTAGGGGTTTCCACTCTCACTCTAAGGGTATTACATTTAGGGATGGAATTGTGTTACACATTATGTAATTTTAAAATATAAAATCCACGTTTTTGGCAGTGGGGATTGCAGGGGACGTTGTGCTGACTGTAATATTATTGTAACTAAAGTAAAGACGATATACGATCCCGAAGTAAGGCAATTATGAATTATAGTAACCTTTCTTTTTTTGGTGTATTCATTCGCACAAAGAGTTCAACTTTTCATTTTAAAAATGTTTATTTACGGAATATTTTTCTTCAGTTTTATTGTAAAAAATTACTAAACCGACCGGGACCCTTGGACCTCCGGGCCCGTGTTCCATCGACACATGTAACACCGGTGAATGCCACATGCCATGATTTAATTTCTCTGGTCCCCTCTGCGACAGACTTACGGAAATATGTACAATAGACATTGCAGTGCAAATTTCATACAGATACTTTTGATCAGTTCTTCCAGGGTAATTGCAGGGAATTCAATTTCAATTTTTTCAAACCTTTTGATAGACATTCTTTCATAGCTTTTAAGTTGTTTTTCAATTTCGCTACAGTAGCTTTTACGCCCAATAGTGTTGCCGTCCAAATACCAAATTACGTGCAACTAGCAAACAAACCATTGTAATGATCGTCCTAGAGAAACTTCAATTTGTCTTTAGTATTCCATTTTTGACGCCAGCATTGACTACAGTAGGTACTATAACATACAACAGCTTGTAATGAAGAAAAGTCAGTGTTTTGTTCTAAGAATTCTGAAATATTACTTTTAATTACTTGTCGAATTACCGGAACCTGGAGTAAATGATCCACCTCTGCTTCCGACAACAGTACAATATGCTCTTCCGGTATAGTTTTTGATATAGATGATTGCGTTTAACGCATTTATAAGATAAAATGTTTATGAATCTGGGTGATATTAAAAGGTCATTTTAGCAACCAAAGAAGTCATCGCAGAAATCCGAAAATTCGCACAGTAATACTAGTAATTACAAAAGGTAACTTTTGCGGATATAGAAATTTTGATTTTGAAAAAATAGTACTTTCACTAGCTTTCTTTATAAAATTCAAATAAAATTAGTTAATTTGGCGATCTCACGAGTATCTACCTCAAAATAGACTAAAATCTGCACATCTACACTATATCAGAAAGCTTTTAGTGAAAATTTGAAGTCTCTATAGCTATTGTAATCGCCGAGATCTCAATCGGACGGCCAGCAAGCCATAACAAATATATATTTTTTTCCAAAAATGCGCTAAAAGCTACATACTGTAACTGATTTTGGAGTACAGAATTCTTTAATATTTATTTTATTCGCATCTGTGCTTAATTATGTATAGATTTCACCTTGCCTCGCCTAGCCAGTTCACCCTTATGTAAGGGGCCTTTTAAAAAATGCCAGACGTAATCGAATTAAAGCGTATAACTAGCTAAATTAGATGATGATTATATAACGAAGCGAATTTTAATCAATTGTCAAGCTTGTCGTCAACCACCGCGAAAGGTAAACAGCGACGGTGATAATTAGCCATCCGAGTGCGTTTAATAAAGGCAATATATAATCTCTGTTATGTAACCTAAAATTTTTTTGAATAATTATCGTGAAATTCAAGGGCCTATTAAAAACGTTTAATTAATTTTCTATTCAAGGTTTGTATCTGTTTGAAAAAGAACACGTGCTAAAAATTCGTAGTCCGCAGGCGAGTTTCGCCTCTGATTTGCAATTTAAGGGAACTTTAAAACAGAGGGTTTCGTGAAGTAAACAAAACAATTTCTATAATAAAATTCACCTTTTCTATAGAAGGCAGTTCGCTATACTGATGAAATTAAGCTCACTCTGATACATGTAAAAGTAAATGTTTCTATGTTCCAGTGTCTAACCTCGATAATTAAATTTAAAGCGATGAAAATTCCAAAGTTGAAGTTGTGTGTAAACTAATTCATGAACAACCTTCTGCCTTCAAAGCTCTGTGGAATATTAAATTTTGAGATCCGTACTGTGGATATAATATAATTGCAATATTTTTGCTTTTTCTTAATTTTCTAAGGACGCGTCTTGCAAAAAGCTCTTTTACTCTCCATTTCTAAGGTGCACCAAAATGTAGAGTTCCCTGATCACTTATCACGTATTAAACGGTCCTGTATTATTTAGCAATTATAAAATTCGACGAAGCACATACCGCAATTTTAAATTCCGACGTTAAAATAAAGCTTCCATTTAGGGCAATTCTGATCTGGCAATGTGACAAAAAAGACAAACACGCTCATTCTTTCTGTTGACAGTTAAAAAATTCCGTAATTTTTGTGGCGCGGTGGAAAAAAAAGGGAACAAACCCGGTAAAATTGTTACGTTGAAATTACGTACAAAGTGTTAACGATAAACGCTTAATCATCTCAGCAATTCCTTTCATGTATGAGATATCTGAAATACTCTTTTAAACAAAATTGATTATCCTATTTATCACTTCATCTTCTTATTTTGTTACTGTGGCAGTGATCATTTAACGTTAAAAATATGACTACCCTATTTTCGCTGGCAAAATACTGAATATTTCATCAAGAATAATGGATTTCAAGGGTATATCGATTTTTGTTGTAAAATGAAATGTGTACATTTATCATACTACCTCTAAGAGTCGTACGCTCTCTTCTCGTGTGATTGACATCAGGCCTTTAAACCTTTAAAAATGCTGAGTGTAGTCCTATAAATGTCATTCAAAATCGAATATGTATTATGCCGCGTGATTTTCAAAGGACTTGAAGAAAAATGGGAGTATTTCTGTTTTACCGCATGATCTCTGGATGCTTTACGAAGCCTATTAAATTCACAAATTGCTACTAAATGTGTACTTTATTTTAGACAGCAAAAGTATAAGAATTTTTATTACGAAGGGCGTGGTAGCCCAAGTTATGATGAAATTGGGCTTCGTATATCTGGCCCATACAGTATTGGAATGCACTGAACAAAGGACATACTTCTAGCCAGTTTTGTAGGAATTTAAGTTTGGGGTTATCACATTTTTTTCTACTCTCGTGTGTGTTACTAACGTCACACATCGATAAAAATGTGTAAAGCTTCATTTCACGAACCGGTGTGAAGCCCCATGCTTTTCTTATGCCATTTATTTCACGCACCGCTGTCATAAGAGCCGTATAACGCTATATGTAAACCATTTTAGAAAAGTTTATGGATTAATGATTCTCCGAAAGGGTAGTATTTAGCCTACCTATCGGAATTAGAACCTTATGGGGTCACTGCTCGATGTTGAAAAGCGCCCTTAGTGGTACAACGTACACATTGGTGATATCCGAAAGTTCGTTCTTTCTGAAAACGGAAAAACGCGTCTTTTTTCTTAGAATTGGGTGAGCTCTCGGCGATTCAATATTAGTGGCGACCGTGACAGGACGCAATGACCGGAGATACACTTTAAAATACCATGCAAGATTTACGTTTGAATTGATATTGTTTATGAAACAGCAAATGTAAAAAGAAGTAAAAAGAAGAGTAGTTTCTCCATTCATTTTCTTACTACAATTAAACTAGGTACATAATTTCATTTCATGCTGGCCGGAATTTATGTTTTTACTCTATGATACAAAAATATGTATTGAATAAGGAGGCAGGTAGGCAATGAATCCGTGAAAGTCGATTTCAATAAATTTGCAAAAAATTAATTTCATTGCAATGTTCTAGTATTAAGTTGGCGCTCAACGAAAAATTTTGATATCCAAATTAAAAGGCGTACAACATTTTCATCTCGGTGCTGATTGTTAAATAAATCCAGTGCCAATTACAGGCCACAGAATGATACAATTGTAGTGTATTACATATTTTTAATTAATCGCGCACTGAGCTGCGCTATTCTCTGATTGGTTCTCTCCCTCGTTAATTCCGTAATTACTGTTAAATGTATACAATTACTATAAGCACCAATAAATTTTACTAAACCACAGGTAATATGTATCTCACCACAAATACGTACTTGAAGCGCAAAATTATTATTATTCACCACAAAAGCTTTATACTCATATGATGCTGGTTGGAAATCGGGTATCTAAAGTATAGATAAATTTAACTTTAACATCTTCTCATTTGTGAAAATATAATAAAATGGGCCAGTCCTCATTTTACGTTTAGGATCAACGCAATATTGGTGTACTAAATCGTATCGTACGCTTAGGGGTGTAGTAGAAACAATTTTCATTATATAAACGAAAAGGGAGCACGGTTTCGCAGATAACTGAAAGAGCCCACGCTTCAACGGCTCTGCGTGGGAGTCATTCATGAATAGTCATTTTGAAACGTAACGAGAATTTGGATGTCAAGGTTAGTTTTGAAGAGAATTAGGTTAACGCTTTAAAAACAACGCTAGATGCACATCTGGCACTTTGACATTTAGTGGAGAGACCCTTTTTAACGTTATAACTGTATAGAACATTATTTTTATAAATGAAAAACTTGCTTCCGAGGTTTATCTCATGTTTACCAATTTCAATGCGCGCCAATATTTTTAATTGCACCTCTGATCTCACGATCTGAAAACCTTTTATGTTTAATTATTGCAGCAGAAAATTGGCCCGATTCTGCAGTAATAAATTTCTAGAAATATTGAAACGCGGAATAACACAGACTAAGTATTTTATTATCCGAATTCTGCATTTGTGAAAAATGATTCAGATATGCAACATTTTCAGTTTACTCAAAAATAGAACAGGAATGACAGAAAGCTACGATCTGGATGTTGTTTTGGTGCAAAATTGTTTCTAAACAAAGCCATCTATATTAAGCTACATTAAATAGATAGATATTTACAGGAACGGTTCGGAAAATATAATTGGAAAATTATTTTAATTGGTAATGAGAAACACAACATTTCATTTGGTAGAATGTAATTGAGTTTTGTAAATAAATCTGTCGCTAATTAGACGGGTTCCTCGAAAGGAAGTCAATTTATTAATAATTAATTAATTAGATAAGGGTGAGCATCTCAATGAAAAAAGTGTAAGTAATGCATAATTTACTGAAGTTTCAAAGAGTGTTTGATCGTGTGCAAAATGAAAATTTTGTTTATCGTTCAAAAATAAATGTAGCAACAAAAAACAGTACATTTTTTGCAGATTTTCAATGCCTGCAGGCCTTTTCAAACACCTTGCACGAAATTGAATTATTATTGGGTTATAAGCATAGGTACCTACGTGTTTTGGTAGAGACCGTTTTTTTACTGTCGTCTTTTTACTTAGTTTTGTTTATCATCGCCGGAGATGAAATTGAAAGAAATCAATACGCAGAACACGACGAGAAGGTTACCGTTAAGAGAAAATTCTCTACACAGAAATTGTAATCCGTTTTGCATATCCAAATTAGAAACGCATGGAAATATATTCCATTCATAACGTTTTTTCCTCAAAATTTTATCTGCGCTAAAGGAACCTGTCACAGTGTTCATATAAATGCAATGTGATCATGGGGTATAGTGTACCTATAGCTCAAATGTGAGAAATGTAGTATGCAGTATGCAAAACAAATATAGCTTTGTTTATAGAAAAAAAAACATTAATCCTACCCTTAGCGTTGAAAAACTGGTGGTAGTTTCTTGTGTTTTTTTGCGGAATACCGGCACCGTTAATTGGCGCGAAGTTAACCGATCCATACAGCTTCAACTGAAAAAATGCTGAGTATCTTTCATTTTATTTCATTTCATTTTTATTTAATTCCTTCGACAAATAACATTTGTATGGAACAAGTCAATATAACATTTAGGTAACAAACAAACAATTAAATATTGGAGCATATACAAAATTCTTGTATATGTTATAGAAACACCCATTGACTAGATACTTGTACAATTTCTTTTTAAATTTATTCCAGGTAAGGCAGGTTCTTATATTATGAGGTAAATGGTTGAAAATTTTAATTCCCGAAACTAGTGGAGAATTTGTCCTATTTTAGATCTGGCCAATTCTGTTCTGAACTGATTATTATTGTGTAAATTATAAGAGTGCACAATTGCACATCTCTATTTGTTTTTAATTTCTCCTGACTATTAAAAATAAGTTTACATATTTCAAATATATACATGCCGGTTACGGTAAGAAGGTTAAGTTCCCTGCTGATCTCCCTGGATGACCGTATCGTCGGATTTCGTATTCATGTGAATTCAGCTTTATTCAATATTTTTCAAAATTTTGACGTTTGACTGCTTTTCATTAGGGCTCTGTACGTATGACTCCGTTGACTTGAATTTCAAGAAGGCTTCCAAAATCAAAAATATTGGTGCTGCATTAGAGTGATTTAAGTTTTGATCTCCCTTCTAGTTTTAAAACTAATGGTCAATAATTTTAATAACTCCAAATGAAACATCGATGAATTATTAGATTCCTTATACCTATCTGTTATGATTTTCGCTTTATTTTAGATTTTCTAAAATTGAGACCGTTGTGCATAATTTTCTTAGGGGGCCCTGAAATCAAAAATGTTGAAAAAATCTTGAATAACTTTAAAACCTTTGATGCTGGGCATTGGGAAATGTGGTATCAAACGACGTAGATTTTCATGTAGATTTCGAAAATTCAATAAAATACAGGTTGTTCTCTTTAAAATAAGAAAGCGCATTTCCACATTGACAGTCTTTGTCCGAAAAAATAGTCTATCCTCAAAACTACTTTTACGCTACGGAATGTTTATTATTGCAGGCACCAGCCGTATTTGATTCTAGTAATAAACTAAAACAATATACAAGAAGTAATATACGAAAAAAAATAATGAAATTTGAAGAAAATTTCAATAAATTGTCATTTTATTTGGATAGGTAACCAGGTGTAATTTGGGCGTCCCATTAATGCTTTGAAGCATGTATATTGTATAGTTACCCTAAGAGTATATTTTGTCAGAGAAAATTCGGCAAATCATAATTTTATATTACTCTAAAGAGCATAATGCGCGTCACTCTGTAATTGGGCGAAAGCCTGTTGAGCACCCAGAACAAAGAGGAACAATAAATAAATTAATAAATTTTTATTAAACAGCTCCTTACTGAGTAGGTAACTCCTCATAACTCAGGTTTCTGGGGGAAATGATCGTGGCGCCTTCTAATCTTGAAGAGAAAGGGGTCAAAGAATTATACGCCAGACTAATCAGCATCGCTTGTAAAACAAATTTTCTTAATTTGGTATTAGTTTCACTTTTATTCGAAATGGATTGCGTATACTTACCAACGCTGGGTTTGGTCAGTTTTTGGGCGCGAAGTTTCTTATCCTTAAGAACATGTGTACCAATACCAATTTTCAAAGTGATCCGACGCTTTTAAACAAAGTTATCGTGCACACGGATAAACAGACAGACGGACAGGTACACAAACGGACAGACAGACAACATACAGACAGACAAATAAACAATACAAAATTATAAACTATGTCGAGGATCGTTAATAAAGGGCAAAGGTGTAAAAAAATTATGGTATATGACAATATTGATTTTTTGTTAATTTTTAGTAATAAATGTAGAAAAAATTCCTTCCTTGGTGCAAGCCTCGACGCTATAACCAACTAAATAGCAAAAAAAGGAAAACAATAAATAGCTCTTAAGATAAAGATGGACGGACAGACGGACGGACAAAGTGGCCACAATAGCGCATTTTATAGGAGATGCGCAAAAAAGGTTTCAAGTTTCCAATGAAATTCGGTTACTCTCTAGAAAAACCCCTAAAATTTAAATAAGGAAAATCGATAAACACATGTCATTTTAGACGTAATTGCATTCACTTTACAAATAGGTGGTATAATTGGTAAACCGTGCAATATAGAAAAACGTAATCTCCTAATTCGAGGATGAATTTTTCTTCTAATCCATATTTGTTTTCCATATTTTCTTAATACAGTAGATATGTTGGTAAATTGAGTCTTTCCCTGAAATTGCTTGCATGCCACGTTACTTTTTTATTTTCATTTTATTGCTTTTATTTTATAGTGAGACTGGGAGCTACTCTTTGAAACAACGGATAGACCAAAGCGGCCAAACGCAGTCGGTGCTTATAAAAATAGGCCTAGCTCCTAGCATATGAAAACCGTTTCTTAACAGTGTTTCCAAGAGCAAGTTTTTGTCTATTCGGACGTCGAAATTGTGACTACGGGTATGATTTGGCTCACCTTGACGACAGGGTAAGAAAATCCAATTTGATAACGGTTGTATACTAATTTTAGGTACCTTTCGATATAGCTTTTGCATACCTCGTCCAAGACAACAAATTTTAATTTCAGGTCTGTTGTTTATATTCGTAACTTCCGTGCAAGAGACTAAATACCTAAAGATTTATTCAGTGCAGACAGAGTAATACATGCTTCAACGTTTGCTAGGCAACTTATTTGATGCCGTTCGTCTCGTTAAATGCATAGCAACTTTGTATAAGTAGCAATTTATGAGTCAAAGGATTGGTCCTAAAAACAAAGTTTCAAGTATATACCCCCCCCCCTCCCCCTCCTTCCGTTACCAGCAATAGTCGGATAAAATAGAGATAACTATAAGACATAATAGATATTTTAGTAATTGTCAAATTTTCTAGTTTCTAGAGTGTTTGTGCAAGAGAAACAGAAGCTTTGTTTTTGCGTTTTCGAAAAAAGTCCTGCATTATTTCGAACTACTCAAGTGCCACAATTTTTAATCCCTTTTTGCTCTTTGGTAAATAAGGTTTTCCTTTACCAATATCCAATAAATATTAATTTCTTCTCATAACGGTCTCAGAATTCTGCTAACGAAATAAGGAAATGTCGCGAAACGTTAACACAAAGAAATATGCATATTCACATTGTTATTGAAATAAACCTCGACATTTTACGTAATGAAACGCACCTGAAGTATTGTCACATTGCAACTGCTACTGTAATCAATTTAATATAGTGGACTTTGACAAAATTTTCGTCACAAAATAAAGAAAAACGTTCTTTAAGAAACTGTGATTCCTGAGCTTGAAGTAATGCAGGACTTTTTTGTATTCGCAGTTTTTTCGAACACACTTTCACCCTCTTGCACAAACAATCCAGCGACATACTGTACAAAATCTTTTAATTGTGGAAACGTTTGCGTTACAATAATTTAATGGCACCTAAGCAGTGCGATTACAGATTGTATAAAGGGGCTTAAATGGCATAAAGACACGTAGTACAATTAAAAGCGTCTAAATTAAAATCACTGCGGGCTAAACGATGTTATAGTTAAAGACAGTAAACCAAAAAATATGTTTTGCAAGGAATTAAAATTAAGAACTTTCGCGTTTTTCTGGTTATATGAAATAATGAAAGCTCGAAAGTTGAGCCAACAACAACATTCCTGCTGAAAAATGTATGCAATGCGCTTTTGAGTTAAAAATCGGAAAACTTCCCAAAGTAACCTGGAATTATGAATAGCTAAAGTTTGCGTAACAGTCACTGCTTAATTAATTAATTAATGGACAATATTCCATTATAAGGAATGAGAGAGGATATTATAGGAGAAAAGTTGAAATTGAGGAGAGTTTTATAAGTTTTAATTAAACAGGCGGTAATGAGCTTTCCAGCTGTGCGGGGTATTTTCTGTGCGTAACTTTAAAGAAAACTTACTTGAGCTTTATTACTATCGGCAAAGTCGGTAATTAAAACTTTATCAAACTGCACTGAGCGCAACAGTTTTAATTTCTAAACTTCACATCAGACAAGTAAATTGAGAAAACACTCACCAGAATCACTATATATATTCGAGTTATTAGATTCCTCACTAGGAAGGAGAGATGGAGCAGGACTTCTCACTAGTCCCATGATCGGATGGTAAGTGTGCGTCTCGGCGCTTTCTAAAGTTGGCGGGACAGACGCACGCATTGTGACGTCAAACACGACCTAGCCACCGATTGGTCCAGGCCAATGTCGGGTCTGGGTTAAGGGTAGTTGTAGCAAGGTAGTCTTGAATCCCAGACAGCTCGAAAGCGTTTCCCGGATCGAACCCCAGACTCATCTGCGCCCTAACTGTGACTTGTTGCTCATTAGGTAGCGTTACACAAAACGCTTTAGTTTTCAGCCTAACGCGCCTTCATTATTAGTGGTTTTCGTATACTCGAAATTTCCGGCACGAAAACAGATGCAAATTCCTTCTCTAAACTCGCATAATACCCACCAGTAAGCTCGGTCAAATTTCAAACAGGCATTATACCGGTATTAAATTTTGCGCTGACCGATCTCTGTAGAAACTATTTTACGATACGGACAGCGAGTCAATTTTTCATTAAAGACCACATCAAAAGATCAACGATGCCTTTATAAACCTTCCACTTGTTGCACTCAGACTGGGGCCAGCCAAATTAAGTAACGTTAGCACCCTTTTTAGCGCATTTTTGCAAAAAATTTTTTTTGTAAAAAGTAGCTTTTAATCTCACTGGCTGGCTGGCTGGCTGGCTGGCTGGCTGGCTGGCTGGCTGGCAGCAAATGTGGGCGCGTAGAAGAACTCTTGTAGAAAGGCAACGGGTGTACGTGTATCTACAGGGCCGTGAAATTTGTCAACCTTAGGGACATGGCTACATGATGTGGGGTTGGCGACATCTGGGCGTCATCCTCGAGCGTAGTATACTAACGTGAAGGTTTTTCAGTTTTTTCCTATCTTCTACTACAGTTTTGGTCCGATTCTTTTGAAATTGGTGTCGTCGGAAAGATGTTGTAAACGCGCACAACTCCTGCGTGGCGGAATTTTGTTTTTTGTCATAGGGGCGAAATTAACGACCTTTTGCGAGGCGCGCGCGCGCGTCTTCGAGAAGTAGTCAACTTCGGGCGCCTTTTACCTTCCGTTGCGAACTCACGCGGTTTAACGTTTCGTAAATCTCGAATCGCTGTCTCTCTTTCTCGTGTCGCCAATAGAAGTGAATTGCGAGTGAACGGGACGTCGGAAGTGGGTACCGTAAAAGAGAATGTGGTAGCCCGCGACACGATCTCACTGATGGTGGAGTCAAATCTTCAAACGCGAATTGCGGGTGAACGGGACGTCGGAAGGGGGTACCGTCAAAGGGAATGTGGTACCCCCGACACGATCTTCACTGATGGTGGAGTCAAATCTTCAATCGCGAATTGCGGGTGAACGGGACGTCGGAAGGGGGTACCGTCAAAGGAAATGTGGTAGCCCCCGACACGATCTTCCTGATGGTGGAGTCAAATCTTCAAACGCGAATTGCGGTGAACGGAACGTCGGAAGTGGGTACCGTCAAAGGGAATGTGGTAGCCCCCGACACGATCTTACTGATGGTGGAGTCAAATCTTTAAAAGCGAATTGCTGGTGCACGCGGAAAGTGGGAAGCGGTTAGTGAATGTAGTAGCCTTCGACAAGATCTGTTATTGATGGTTGAGTCGAAAGTGGCTAATACTGATCTGCCACACAAAAATGCGCTAAAGTCCCTTCGATCTCAAACGAGGACTTTGATAATTTTTTTACAAGCGTTCTTCTACGGGCTCGCATTTATTGCCAGCTAGCCAGCTAGCCAGCCAGTCAAAGCTACCTTTTTACAAATAAATTTGCAAAAATGCGCTAAAAACAAACGGTGGCTGCTCGACTAATATAAACGTAAAATCCCCGAATTATCTTGTTAAATCACATCAAAGCATTCGATAACTTAAATAAAACGAAAACCATAACAGATAGGTATTGGGAATGTAATATGTGATCGACGTACATTTTTTTCCACATTTGAAAGTGCAAAAAAATAAAACAGGTTTCATTTGAAAAAATCAACTTTTGAAGGTTCGCAGTTATTAGACTTGATCGTTAATTTTAAAACACCCTGTAGAAGGGTGATCAAAATTTAAATCATTCGCATGTAGCATCACGTCAGTATCGTTGATTCTTGACTTTTTGAAGTTCAAGTCAACGGAGCGATCAGTTTTGCAGTGGGCGGCTAACTCCGATGATTAACGTGAATGTTTTTATACTAGAAGAACAATAGTGGATGCCAAATGTCATGGTAATCGCGTTTGTCAATACTGATGTTCGCCGTAGAAAATAGTGATAATTATCATTTCCGTGCTTTTAATTCATAAGAACACTAGTGCTATTATGAAAACCGTAATGACTAATGACATTCAAAGTATTCATGCTAAATCTGTCATATTGATTGTGTTATATAGTCGTAGATTAATTTACCGACCCGAAAGATAGAAGATCTCCAGGTAAAAACTATAAAATTAATTTTGAGCTAGAGCCTGGTGCGTTTGTTTGTTTAACATATTTTATTTTTGCCAGTGGCGTAACAAATCTTCAAATAGTATATTATGTAATGAGCGCTATTAAGACACGAGCATGAAATATGAGTGTCTAAATAGCCATTAAATGCAAGTTTCATACACTATTTTTTCTATGACTATGATGAGCTATAAGGAGGTGATTCCACACTGGGTTCAAAAGCGGTTCAAAATTTGATATTTTTATTGCGTGCAGGTAGTGAAGTCAGGCACCTTATTAAAGCATGCGCAGGGCGGAGGACGACTGTCAAATTTAAAAACCGCCGAATGAAATCTTACGGTTACGTTTGTATGGGAATTGAGAGAAAACACAAATTCGCTATGCCCTGCAGCTGTCAAAACTAATAAATTTTAGATCTATCTTTGGTATGGTAACTTTGATTTTCGTAAACTATGCGTCGTTATCCCGTGATATTGGTCGTAAACTGAAAATCTGTATCGAAATAGGTGGCAAATGTTTCATATATCAATTAAAGTACCTATAGGAGTATAGAAACAAGTTGTAAATCAGCATATGCATGATTAAAGCGCATTTTTAATAATACAAGTCAGTGTTTGATTAGCGACGTTTAAAATTATCGATCTCACGAGTAATCTAACACAAAATAGACTAGAGCCTGCACATCTACACTATAGCAGAAAGCTTTTAGTGAAAATTTGAAGTCTCTAACTATTGTAGTTGCTGAGATCTCACCCTGCCGGCCAGCCAGCCATAACGAATATAATAGCGTATTTTTTTCACAAATGCGCTAAAAATATTAATAGGTACTACTTAAAATCTTCATTTCAAATTTGCTAAATATAAGTTAACCGTTTTCTTGTCGTTGGTATGAGGAATGTGTTGAGACGGTGCGTTAGTATTTTATGCCTCTTCTAATCGGAGTAAAATGTAGAGTCCGCTCACTTTGAAGGCTCAAATCTCAAAATCGCTGGAGCCGATATTAATGAAATTTTTGGAACGTATGAATTGGTAAGTTGTTGTTAACATACGTAAATTGTAAATTTTTGCTGCCGGGACTTTTTACGTTATCGAATTTTCCTCACAAAAAAGTACTCTAAAATGCGTGATTTGTCGCGATGTACAGGTCCATAAATAGTTTATTTTTCCACGAAAATTCATACATTTCGGGTATTACATAACCCAATTCTTGCTGTAGCTATTGTAGAAAAAATTATGGAAATATCTTGTTCCCTTTTTGCGTAATTAGCGGAAAAGCAAAAACATTGCAACGCAGCTATTATTGAAGGAAACGACTTCATTCTTTTTTTATAAGATGAATAAAATAGCAAACGTCATAAATGCGTACATATTGTCTGAAAACAACTTGTGGATGTTTGTTTTTGTGTAAATTAGCCAATACTCTACGTACGAAACAAGATGAATAATAACCTGCGGTTTTCATGTGTGATGTGCGGCAAACATGTTTTGTTTAACTGGAGCGTTACAATACAATAACCACAGATGGCCATGGCCAATGTAATGTAAATTGTCATTATTATTCTTTCGTGGGTACCTACAGGAACACATGTTTGATAAACATATATATTATTCAAAACCAGAAAAATGGATTGTGGTTCATAATATTTTCTTACATTCAAATATATAAAGGCCCATTGCTCATCCAGAACTACATTAACAGTTTAGTTGTGACGACGTACCACTATATCTATAATAAATAATAAAATGCCTCGTTATGTGTCCGTGGAGTTTAAAAAGATTGTTGTGAAGGTAAAAAGGTTCTTCGAAGAAGAAAAAATGAATGGTGTAGATCGAGTTCGGCTCAATCAAGTAACAAAACGAACTGCGCAATGCTTGGGAATTAGCGAAAAAACAGTTCAAGGGTGTCCAATGAAGCAAGTATCAGTGGTATAGTTTCAGGACCAAAACCAAAAAGTGGTAGACCTAAAATAGAGATCGATGATTTTATGAAGGGCGTTATAAGACGACAAATATTAAATTTTTATATGGAAAAACGGTTTCCAACCATAGCCGAACTCTATCAACGACTGAAAGACGAGTGTCCAGATTTTCCGCAAGTGTGCAGCACCACAGTAAAAAAATGGGTAAAAGATATAAATTTTATCTATCGCAAATTGGAGAACAGGCCTATTTTAATGGAAGTGAATGCAATAGCTGCTAAAAGAGCCGAATATCTATACGCCATCAAAAGATATAGAGAAACGGGTTGGAATCTATTTTTTACAGACGAAACATGGTGTGGCGCAAACCATTCAAAAAAATTTGGTTGGGTGGAATATATAACCCCGGAAAACCGCGACAGCTTTAACCAATATCGAGGAACCATTCAAGAAATCAATGGGTACAGGGGTGGAATCAAACGACCTTCTGGAGCTGGGCAACGGATCATTATACTTGACATCGGCAACGAAAACGGTTTTTTACCAGGATGTAGCAAATGCTTCATTGGGAAGAAAGGGTCAGCAGATTATCATGACGAAATGAATAAACAGCATTTTGAGGAATGGTTACGATATGTCTTGGGGGTGATGCCCGATAAGTCAGTTATTGTACTTGATCAAGCACCTTACCGTACAATGTTGAATCCTGAATTTCGAAACCCAACAACTGCATGGAGAAAAGCAGACATAATTGAATGGTTAAATAAGCGAAAAGTTCAGGTACCAGAACACTTCGATACATTCGATCAAATGACAAGGCCTTCACTTTTGCAATTATCTCGCATGTACAATTACAAAAAACAGTATTTTCTGGAGAAAGTGGTAAACGATGTTCGACAGGATAAAGTGAAGCGTCTATGGCTTCCAGTAGCCCATTGTGAGTTCAACCCCATTGAATTGATATGGGCGTATGTCAAAAATAAAGTTGCAAAGCTAAACACAACATTCAAAATTAAAGACGTATTAGACCTCTGCAAAGCAACATTGGAAGATGTGCCAAAAAGCGTTTGGGCTAATTGTGTTCACCATGCCAAGAAAGTAGAAGATATGTACCGAGAAAAAGAGAATTTAATAGATGTCGCCATAGAACCTTTGGTAATAAATCTCAACGACGAGGATAGTGATGACGCAGTTATCGACTTTGATGAAGATGATCTCGAAGAACATAGCGATAATGATGATAATGAATGTATATGAGTTGACTGATTAATACAGAATAACAATTTCATGCTATATTACTTAACCGTGTACTTAGCGTGTGTGCCGCTTTATACGAAACGTTGCTGCAAGGTACAACTTTGCGATTAAATGACCTTCCCCCCAACTCCGCTCGAGGTGTTGCGTTTATCTCTTTCGTTCAAAATATATTAATTCCTGCAGCCCTTCACATTTTTTTGTCATTGATTCTATTTCGTGATCATATCATTTGGAATTGTCCTTTATCGATATGAACAAAACTTTTTAAAGTGTAGCTTATAATAAGCGAATAAAAGCATCTGTCATTTTATCGCTGTAACGTTTGCGTAATTATACAGAAATGCATAAAAATGTAACGACGTATAGTTAAAGGTGTATTCTATCACATACGTAAACATTATCCCATTTGAGTGAATACTTTTTTTGTAATTAAATCCTAAAGTTCTGAGTTCGTATACTTTCATTGAAAAAGCGCGCTTTCCCGTACATATTTCACTATCACATTTTCCCAAATTTAACAAGAAATATGACATTACGTACAGAAACCTAGAAATAGTTGACGATTATAGTACGCTTTATTTGATAAAAATCGGTTGGGTAGTTTTTTTTTGATAACCGTTTAAAGCCAGCGGACTTCTACATTTTACTCCGATAGTAGTCAACTTCGAATGTGGTTTTAAACATTGGTGTATAGTACGAATATTGTCAACTCAACTTGTGATAGATTTAGGTTCTCAAGGGTCTATTCGGACTCGAATTTTAAGGGATCTTTTAATCAGGACACTAAATTACAAAACGATTCCCATTTAATCCAATGTACCTACGTAAATAAAATTTCCCAAATTACTCTTTTCAGGCAAGAAAAACAAGTGTTTTAATTCACGACAATATACCTCCATCAAATTTCTTCCCTAACCGGCGAGCGATTCAAATACATGTAAGTAGGTGTATTATTATCTTTGTAAGTAGTAAAAGGTACTAGTTCACTCTGTAGTAGACGTAGGTACAAAGTTATAGGCAGCACTGTATTTGTGTTTTTCTTTCACCGTTTCGTAGAATATTCGTTTTATGTTTCACCGATGTAGGATCGGGGAAGAATAACCCTACCACAGAATGCACTGTGTGTCGTAAGAAGCTGCTAAACAACGGCAGAATTAGTGCAACCACGAGGACTGGTTAAAAAGCGACATATTCTGAGCTTTAGTTGCTGGCGCGACGAGCTTTTGGATTGAATATAGAATGAATCGGAGATATCCATGGTGTGAATTAACTCAAAATGGGGTTGTATATAATAGAGTCGTTAAATCCCAAAAAGACACAAAACCTTCCCCATACTAATTTAATTTACAATTGTACGGTCATCTTTTGGCTATAATATATGATACGGATTTATGAAATTACTTTAATCCTGGTAAATTTCATAAATCTGTAACAGATATTATAGTCAGAAGATGACCGTTGGTCGAAACTAGTCACTGTTTTTACAATTGTTCTATTAAATTAGTATGGGGAAGGTTTTGTGTCTTTTTGGGATTTAACGACTCTATTGAATATAGAACTTTGGCGATTATGACTTTTAGCAAAGAATGAGCAGGATGGGAGTAGGTCTGGATATTCTTTTTTCCTACTACCAGCTACCAGCTATTAGGTTTTCTAGTTGATGTCGGAGCACCCACCTCATAATCTGAAGCTTTGCCATCAAATGCTCCAACAGAACTTTTTTTTTACAGATATCGTGTTTATCAATGGAACTGGCACACCACAACGTTGACTTTAACATATGCGGATTCTTTCCATTGGATCAAACTTTGTTGTATGCCGTAAGTATGGGCCCAGACCCCAGTGTGAATCTTTCGAATAAGGTACGGTTTTGTTAGAATGTATATAATTATCCTCGCGACAATCATGCAACCGTATTTTACTGACGAAATTATTTACCGTTTATTTGACTACGTATCATGTTGATTAAGAATGGTGTACTACTTTCTATGCGAGTATACCTTATGGCTCTTTTTATAATATGACTTTGCCTCTCCTCAAGAATGCAGTGGTAACAACACATCCCACATCCTTTGAAATCATGCCGAAACACAATTTGTCCCAGCCTTACACGGTCTTGAGAAAATTAAAAGTTTACCATAGCTACACAAGTTCAAGTGGTACTAATTTATTTTACTTTAAATATTATTGACTGTTGAGTGTTGATATCAAGGGCCCGTCTAACAAAACAGTTCCACCAGTTGCGTGCAAGTGAAGTATAAATCTTTTTCAGATTGTTGGTGCAGCTTCTTCTTACTTAGTTATAATCATACAATTTGAACTCTCTTCTGCTACTGAACGTGGATCAATTGGAAATTTTACCGTTTAGTCTGATTATTTGCACTGGTGTTGGTAAAGGTTTTTCATAAATGTCAAGTGAAAGGTTAAGTAGGTATGTTATTGCAACCGATATTTTTAAATTTCCGAATACTATCGTTGCTCAAATAAGGCTTTACTCTATTGCATGGAAACGATACATATAAATAGTTATTTGTTTAAATCCTTACATGTTTCTAAAAATTTCTGCTTTTAGTAAAATTTCTTAAATAAAGAAAACATATTTATACGATGTTTGAATTATAGTAATGTGTAGTGCACTCGTTTTGCTTAAAAATAGCGTTAGGTACATATATTATTCTTATCATTTATTATTTTTTTGATATCATTCCTTTAATAATACTTACTTGGATGTATACTACGGTTACATAGGTAGGTATATACTTACTCCAATAGTGTCAATGATAACGCAAAAGGTAATTATCTACTTTATTTTCTGTAGCATTGTTACGATTTTACAAACCCATTGCATTTCCACTAACTTAAGATTACTTTTTCCCCTTCTTCTTCTTTTTTTGCGCATCGGGCCAAGGAAAGCCACGAAATTTTAATAAATCCTGTACATTGTGGCACGTCGCGTAGGCGTTCTCCATTGCAGCTTCGTTAAAAATGTCAACGGTATACCTCGCACTTTTCGATCTTCCACCTCCACCACCGCCACCTCCTTTGCGAGCTTTCTTGGCTTTACCTTTGTCCCCATTTTTTGCATTTTTAGATTTCTTCTTTTTCTTACCCATTGAGGTATATCTTTAGTGCGCGTTTCGTACCTATACAGTATGTAAATAACAATTGTTTGATCAATGTGGGACGTTGCCATGGATGCTTGATGACGTATGCGATTTGACTACAGTACTTGATTAAGGTAGCAGACTCGTCAACCATTTTGGAGCCCACTGACAGTCTAAATCTGTGCACAGAAAAATTAGTTAATGTGTAAAAATGCATTAATAAACGTTAAAGTAATCCATGGTTTTTCTTTAAATGATAAGATACTGCACCCAGAACATGCAACGTTTTGCAAGCAGTAGGCTCCAAAATGGCGGACGCGTGAGCTGTGGTATACAGGGCGACAATTTGAAAACTTACCACCCCCCATATCTTAGTAAATAAACGAGATATTTAAAAAAATCAAAATTCGTTTCGGTAATTCGGAGAGGGAATCACAATGACATAGTTGGCGACGCACCCCCTCCAACCCCCTCCGCCCCAGCCACCCCAACTTTTAAATCTTAAATAGTGACCCCCCATGTGTGATACGTCGTTGGAAAGCTCTGAAAAAATGCTTTCCAACCATACCAAATAACATTTGGGTTAGTAATTATCGTGCAAATCAAAAAATAAACATGGAAAATCGTATTTAACTTGAACTTCCAAAGCCGACTCGACAGCAACTCATTTTTGATCGCCAGTTATAAACTATTCTCAAACTCTTGTCGAACCTTTTCAAATGTTGGTTTTGCAATATTTCGACATTCTTGAATTATTGTCTGTCTTAGTTCGTCTATGTTCGCCGGTTGCGTTTTAAATACGACAGATTTCAAATGTATCATATTAGTTTATTTTTTGATTTGCACGATAATTACTAACCTAAATGTAATGCTATTTGGTATGGTTGGAAAGCATTTTTTCAGAGCTTTCCAACGACGTATCACACATGGCGGGTCACTATTTAAGATTTAAAAGTTGGGGTGGCTGGGGCGCAGGGGGTTGGAGGGGGTGCGTCGCCAACTATGGATTTTGATTTTTTTAAATATCTCGTTTATTTACTAAGATATGGGGGGTGGTAAGTTTTCAAATTGTCACCCTGAGTAGCTATAGATTTGGCCACTGACAAACTGTAGTTGAAAACAAGGTTTAAGAAGCATTACTAACCAAAATCTCACCATTTTTAAAACGATAGTGAGGTAAACTCAAGCTTCCAATTACTTATTTCTCCCTCTACAGTTTACATCAATCTACATGGTATGATTTTTATTTGAATCTGTTTGAAGAACTACCATTTTTGGTATTTTGAATGTTCCTGATTAGGTCAAAGTTGTTTTTGGATAGACTCCGTATTAATTTATGCAGTTAGGCTGTTGCGTTGCGTTCTTTAAGTCAATAAAAGAATGCCCTCACAATCCCAAAAGGCCGTAGCAATCACCTTTTGTCTCGACTGACAAACCTTGAACTTTATCGGCGGCGCTTCTCCCTTTTTCTTTATTCCATCGACTACCTTTGGGACAGTGAATCATAGTAGATACAGGACCATAATTTCATCCCCTATTACAATCAATCAATATTTGTTAATAATACCGTTTGGCAAATTTTTACAACGAATCAAATACATAAAACTAAAATGTATGTGTGTTTTAATCTCCATTTTTGTTTCCTCCTCTAATACGTAACTTGGTGCCTTTCCGTTTAGACCCATAGTCATTGGTAATCTCTTTGTTCACCCCATTCCTTCAACTCCCATATCTCCGTTCCGTACATAAGCACCCCTCTCGCCATTGCATCAACAATGTTTTTCTTGCTCTAAACTCATTTTTGAAACTCCTTTCTCCCACGCCTGTTCCATTTCCACTACCTCCTTTTATCTTAGTTCCCTTATTTTGCAACGAAGCACTCGTTTTCGCACAGGAATTATATCAGAATTATATTAATGGAAGCTTAATCAACAGCCGGTACTTCGACGAACTCAAATAGGCTCTTCCTTACGAGTGATTGCAGTTTGGGACCTATTTCTAGCAGTGAAAAATAGAAGGTAAAAGTAATGTTTTAAATTGTAGAGCCGTTTTAGCCGCTGATAAGAAATATTTTAATAACTCGCAGCCTCTAAAAGCCTCGTCCTTTGGAAGGCGAGAGAAAATTAACATTGTAAGATTTCATTTCTCTTCGTTCATTGATAACCGATTTTAGTTTCCCAATGTTAAGCGATAACGAGCATTAAAACTGCAAGGTCGTGCAGTTTATTTCATTATCGCAAACCTTTTGCGATTGACCCGAAATTCCCTATAACAATAGGCATTACTCGGCTATCGAATTTAGAAATTTCAGTGCGGCCATTTGCGTGAGCAGAAATACCGGTAGCTACTCAGATGTGTTGCAGGAAACCTATACTCAAATGAAGCGCGCTTAATTAACTTGATTTTTAAAGTGGTCCCAGTTTTTTATGATGACCAGAAGCCGAGAAATTAAATAAGGAAGAATTCTGTTTTAGATTATTCGCCAGTAACCGATTGCCTGACTCTACTGCAGTTGAGTTGTAAAATAATAACATAATTTATGTTTTATGTAATTTTTCCGCTGATTAAAGTTCAATTTTTTTATTCAACTAATTGCATTGTTAAATTTCCAGGACGAACTTCCCGCAATTTTAGCATTTCCCCATTATTTCGTTGCATTTGGTACCTACCCTAAGTATATTCTTCTCTTACTTCCTCTACTTTTTTCTCCCTCCATTTCCATTCTCCGTTTTCTCTCCCCCCCCCCCCCCCCTCTTTTCCAAATCTCACCATCTTCGATTTTCCGACATTTAACTCCATTCCCTTTCTTTCCCAATACTTTTATATTCTTCCCATCATTTCCTTCATCTGTTCTACCTCTGTTGCCATTATCACTGTGTCGTCCGCGTATGCCAGGGACCATAATTATGTCTTCTTCCTATTACGATCCCTCCACTTTAACTTTAAAACTTTTTTCGTATCTCTTTTGTAGAAATTACGGTTGGTGTACGTGGACATCTCTTTCTCACTCTTTTATATGCGCAGAACACTTTAGACTTTTTCCTTCCTATCCTTACTCTCATTAGCGTCTCTTCATATAATTCCTTGATTCTGTCCTTAAACTTTTTGTCTATTTTCTTCCATCATTTTCCATATTTTTTCCCTTTACACTATTTCAAACACTGCCTTTAAATCCATGAAAACCTCTACCATCTGTCCGCCCTTTTTAGCACATTTTTTAAGAAAACGAAAAATGTGTTATTGTTTTCGTTTTGTCCGTCCGGATCCACTTGAAGTACTTCTAGGGGAATGGTCATACAGTCCTGGAATTTTGCAGTAGGTAGCATATTCCTTGATTTTATCTTTCATGGTATTCTAATTAAAAGTCTCAATGAAAGGAACCGTTTTCTATACCAACTACTGCTGACTTTTCTATTACCATGCGCTAAATAACCCCAAAAAATTAAAGTCTGCAAAAACTCTGAAATGGCATCCTTAATAGACCCAAAATGAAATCGGAATAAGAAATATCAACTTCAAGATATAAGGAAATACAATGGCAACTGACAACAGGAGTAGGAAAGTACTGAGTCACAATTGGGAAAGGTAATCTTAGACGTGACATCGCTTCCTAAATTAAATCAATATATAGTCGGAACAAACAAGTAAAATGGTTGCGAATTGCCATTGGACCCCCTAGAATAACTCACTCGTACCTTCTATTGAAAAAAAGTAAACCACAACACAATGCCCTCATACTACCGTATAATACAGATTTAGAACAAATACAGAGAAACACCCTTACACTATTAACAAAGTACCATACATCACCCTCACTCCTTCTACTATACAACTTTACCTTCGTCGTTCTCGAGAAGGTAGAGGACTTACAGACAAAACTATTGCACCAAACCGCTTTGGCCTAATAATTTGACAGTCTAATTACCGCCGCACCGTCAGGTTTCAATCTTTGTAAAGAACACCTTTTAAGGAAAATGTATTTTACTGAATTAAAGTAGAAACTTTTTCCTGTGTTAAATTGGAAATGCTTATCTGCCTTCTTAGCAAAAACATGTTGTTCTAAATACCCGAACTTTCAGATTGCTTATTGTAGTTAAAGGCACTTTCGAAATTGAAATTAACATTTTCTATCAGTTATACCCCTAAGAACAAATATTGAAAAAAACTGTACAAAAAAAAGCGTTGGAGATTTATTAGTAGGGTAAGTTCCATTCACCTAGGAAATGTATTTCATTAATTACATACTAAACACGATGAAAAACAAATGTTTTAAAAGTTAAGGCTTATCAATCTTGAAAACAACTACCGCGTAGACATATGTTTCTAGTTAAACCAACACACGTTGAGAAATTGATTACAAAATGTGTTGCCCGTTTTTATAATCTACAAGGTGTCCCCCGAAAATTAGTATCTCCAGAAGACGCGGCAAAATAAATGATTTGGCAAACAGCTAAACACTTATATTATCAAGGGGGGCCAATTTTTATGCAAATATAATTCTTGCAACTTTAACTCTGTTTTAGGGATTGCAACCCTCACAAATGCGTGCATGGGACTAGGGGTCAAATGACCCATAATTTGGAAGGCATTTTCATTATTTACACCACCGTTTTACCAGTTACCAAGAAATCGCGCCTTCAAGTTTCAAAATTAAAAAATTAATAAAAACTTTTGAGTAAAAATAATCAAGTATGTCATTCAGTGAATGTTTCTTTGCGGAACATTTTGAGTTCAACGACCATATCAATCCAGACGTTTTAACAAATATTTGCAACTCAGTGTTTAATTCTTGATATGGATAATGTGCATCTACCTCGCATGTATAAAAGCTAACTACCGAACACAATTTTTTTAATTAGTGCCACCATGAACACCAGAGTTCTTGCTTTATCACTAACTTTTGCAGCACTTTGTATTATACCGTCAGAATTGCAACAAACGAACAGTAAGATGACGATTTCATTAATCTATTTACTTTACTCATCTTTTCTTTCAGATTCCACATGCTCTACTAAAGTAATGTCTGCAGCGTACTGTATTGTACAACGAATCAAACAAAAAATTAATGCCTTGCAACTCAACACAGCTAGCCAATCTGAAAAAATATGTTTCGCGAGGTATATTATAAATGAACTATTACGCTTACTGGGGCTTATGCCCACTACCTGTAGTGGCTTGGCAGACGTCATAAATGGACTGTTTATTACAACTGGAGGTCTCGTTTGTACTCTGGCTCAAATTTTGGAGTCATTACTTGGAGGACTCCTAGGTGGCCTTTTGGGATAAATTATGATTATTAAATATGGGTACCAAGCTATTTCGTGTTTTAATATAGTCATTTTGAGTGTTGCATTTTTATTGCTTTTTTTGCATGCGATTAATCATTGGGATACGCAAGTTTGATGATATATATCGTACAACTAACCGATGCTAACTGGCTAAATATGAGTAATAGGAAGTACCTACAAATTTCCTGTTTGTGTCATAAAATAATAACTCAAAAATGCCCAAAATATTTATATTAAAAAATAGAACATCATCTAAATTTTGCCGCGGAAGCGGAAGCCCTGCTGCAATAATTGGATTGACAAATTACCTAGCTTTTTTACTTAAAGTGTAATTGTAATAGTAACCAGAAAACTGTATCATACAAAATGTACCAAATTTTTGACAGAATAGCTTCCTAGCTCAAACCAAAAAGCAGTATTCACCGTTTAATGTCTTCGCACGCTTTTTTTGTGTTTATTGCTAATACTTATTACTAATACATAATTCATTTATTGTCTAAAGTCAGTAAACACAAAGCTCCTTCTTCAATCGGCACATTAGAATAAGAATGTAGGTAGAGAGGGCACCGACACCCTCATTAAGTTGTCAATGACCCACTTTTTTGTCGGCGATCTGTTTACAGATGAGATGGGTCAGGTTCTCCTTTTTTTAACAGTATTATATTAACACAGATTTTAGTGTTTAACTTTGTGATATTAATTAACCATAATAAAAACTGCAGTATATATACATCTTGATCTGATATTTTAACATAGGTATTGATATTTCATCTTAAGTTAGTTGCATTAAACATTAAACCAAAAAAGAATGCAACGACCGAACTTCCCTTGCAATCACTCATCCTAAATATTAACCGCGCACTAAGCTGCCAAATGGTTTTTTAACTTTGACATTTTTCTCCGCCCTTTTATAATAAAACGTAACATAATTTTGTTGTACACCGAAAAAGAAAGTCTTGCGAATAATTTAATAAAAATATTGCGTTGAAAAAATTTTTTTTAGTTTTTTAACTTTGACATTCTTTCTCATTTTTTTTGTAATAAAACCTGGCACAATTTTTGTAGTTGTACAGAGAAAAATAAAGTCTTTAAAATACTTTAATATAAATCTTATGTAGCTGTTCGGAAAAAGTTTGATTTTTTTACATCCAGCCTGTTTGTTATTTTTTGTTTCCGTATGCCATATATATACGCATCGAAAATGTGAACAAAATCCGTCCGATCAGATATCTTGGAAAATTGCCGACATACATACAGACAGGAATGATCTAAATACTAAAGTTCTATCTGGCAAAGATTTGAATAGTTAAATTCTACGTTGAGAATACTTACGCATACTAAATCGATTAATAATTTCAAATTGAAACGTCAATAATTTACATTTTAAATGCAACCTAAATTCGTTTTACGGTGACGAATTAACGTATAAATGACCTCTGAATTTGGTTCCCTTATAATGAAATTTAAATCGAATTGGATTTTGATCCTGATCTGAAAAGACTGGTTACAAAATCATGGCTTTCTTTGGATAAGAATACGAATAAACAAAACAATAATTTTACATAATTTTCAACAACTCTCATTTACAGTTTAACTTTAATATGGTAATAGTAATAGGTCAAAAATTTCTTTTTCTCACGGATCGTAAAGCAGTCGATTAAAATTTCAAAAATCATACAACAATTCTATATCGAACCTTTCCTGGGTGATTTTTTCTTGATGTGGAAACCTGGAGTTCTTACAGCTAACCGGTTGACTCAAAACTCTGGGGTAGTTAACAGGTCACTTCTTGGATGCATTCTTAAACCGGATATATGAAATTATCTGCAACAACAGCTCTTGGAAATGGACGTCGTTGATGATTGATGTTGAACTGCAGGTTTCAGTTGTTAATTCTCCTGGCCAGCACAAATTTGAGTTGGCAAAAGAAACGAGCATTGATGTAAGCTCGATTTTAAGGGGTTGTTCTTGAAATTTGGTTGAATGGTTAGGAAATACCTTCACTAAAATTTTCACATTGATTAATTTTAACTTTAGCGGCACAAAAATGAACGTAAATATTATCAAACTTTGCTAACAGTTTTCTTTATCGAAATTTCACGTGACACCGGATATTAGAGTATGAATTACGAAACGATTATAACTCTTAATTTTCATTGGTTCGCCAACTCTAGGGCTGCCTACAGAAAACGCTGATTCAACACAATTTTACTTATCTTTTCCCAAGAAAGGTTAGGAACCTCCCCACCTTAACCAACAATCCTACTCTTATATAAGTCTAAAAAAACAAATATTAGAAATGTACAGGATATTAGAGGGGTATACTGAAGCTATCGAAAATTCTATAAGAATATTGCTAATTCAAGAATACATATTAATCTATGTAAGAAAATTATAGTGTCGAAATTGAATCGGTGACTTCATTTTTCTACTACCTAAGCTTCGTTTATTCCGAAATAATAAGTTCCACCAGAAGCAGAGGAATTATTAGTGGCGTAATTGTTTAATTGCGATTCAAATTGCCATCTGTTTAAACGGTAGAATTAGTACCCTTTCTTAAATCAAATTGATCAGAGCTGTAATCATTACGTACCCGCGCACCAGTAATGTGTAATTTCTATTTAAATTTTTAAAAATAATTCAAGGCACCTGCTTTGTTCGTTAGAAATCCGCACATCAAAATTTAAGAAATACAATTACATAAATTGGTCGTTTGTAAAACCAATTTGGCATTTCTGTGTAGGTTTTGTAGCCGATATCATGGTGCAGGTATTTTTGTCTGTGATCGTTATCTATTTAAAGTTGCTTGGAATGTATCCCGTGGAATCAAACTCCAGGAAGATATCAATATTTTGGCACTACTTATCAAAGTACAGTTCTACTTTTTTTACCTACGTCATGTTTATTACGGTCACTTTATCGATATTTATTGAAAAGCAAGATTTGGTACACTTTACGCTCAATTTATTAAATATAGGTAAGAAACTAAAACATTCATTTGTTACTCTCATTTTTCATTCGTATACCGTGTGGTAACGTGTGTGGTGTCAGATTATATTCGAATATTCCGCTAATTATTTTAGAGGCAAAAAAACCTGGAAAAAGATTACATTTATTAATTTATTAACTTTTCACGTAACCTCCTTTCGAATAAAGGGATATTTTCGGTTTTTTCCATCCACAAAGTTTATCGGAAGCTTACCTTTTAACAAGCATTGAACCAAAATTTATTTTTGTGAACATTTTATTTTGATGTTCAACGTAAAAAGGTACATCATCTTCAACCAAGAATGTTAATAAACACTTTTTTCAAAAATATTTGTATTGTTGAAATATCTACTTTCAGATGGTGTAAACAAAAATGAGCATTACTATGGAAGAATTGTCCAAGAAATGCAAAAAACTGAATAAAAAAACGGTTTCAATTCGATGGTTCAATCGGTTGTTTTTAATAATCAATATTTACAGTTCAAAACCTTGAAGGATCTGTAATTTGATTTTACACTTAATTCGTGCAAATGGTTTAAGTAAGCGTCTTAAGGGGTGTGTGTAAGAAAAGGTTTTAAATTGTTGCAACCAGCAAAAAAATGATTACTGGAGTGTTTCTCAATATAGAAAAGATGAGTTAAATGCAATGAAAGTAGTGAAAGTATTGTTTAGAAGAGCACTTGGCTCAGTTACTTGTTTATACTGTCTGTGAATTGCAAGGAAAATACGAAAATGTTGTTCTTCAACAAATAGATCCGCGCTATCTAACCGCAATACGACTTACGTTGCACTGGTGTCAAGTGTCAAGTGTTATTTTTGAGTGAACAATTAGTGAACGTTTATGCATGTAGTGACCAGAAAAATGGAACAACTGAGGCAATTAATGCAAGAAATGAAAGCCGGTCAAGCTGAAATGAAAGCAAGGGTCAAATCTGGTCAACAATGAATGGAGTCTAAAATAAAATAGAAACAGGTCAACAAGGCATGGAAGCTAAAATAGATCCAGATCAGAGGTATGATTCAAGATAAGATACAGAGTGTCCAAGATAAAATTCATACGGTAGAAATCGAAATTAAAGCCAAATATAATGAACTACGAAAAGAATTTACATTACTGACCGAAGAACACGAAAAGTTATGGGTGATCTATGATAATACAAGATCTATATATTTTTTTATGAAGTTTTCCATTTTTTTGTCGGTGAAGTAATTTCTAGGTAAGTATAAGGAAAAAACAGGCAAATCTTATTTTTTATTCTTTATTGGCGATCGATTTCGGGCATGATATTGCCCATCATCAGGCCGTGCTGAAAAAAGTTACAGTATATATTGTAAGAAAACGGGTGAGTACAATAAATAATTATGAAATCCACTGCAATGATTGCAATATATCCTACATTGGACTCACTTCTCGCAATATCAGAACAAGATTCAAAGAACACAAAAACAATAGACCCAAACCTGCAATAGGCACCCGCTCTCTGGAAACAAACCATATTATCACACTCGAAAACACCAAAATGCTACACCAATCTGACAATATCAATAAATTAAAAATTCTTGAACATTTTGAAATTGATTCAGCTAAACTTGACAATAACAAACACCTTATCAACGAATGTACGAATTTTCCAGACCGTGTAAAAATACTATAGTACGTTCGAGTTAAATTTTTGTAAATACTTTTTAGTATTCAAATACTTTGTAACTAATAGTTATTTATGCATCAAGGGCATTAAGGCGATATTTATGGCAAGGGCGACAGAGCCCGAGGGCCTCCGGCCCGAGGGATTGTAAGTCGCCCGAGGGTTAAATATTGAGTAATGCCTGAGGTGCATACAACATTTTATTTTTCATCGTTCCAAGGAATGCATTAACAATATACAATTGTCATGATTATTGTTTGTCCAACATTAAAGTGCTTCATACGAATCAAGTTGCATCCTTTTTATTACATAATATAACTCCGTCAATCAATTTGACCGGCCGTTTGAGGGTATAATGAGATGACAATCCATTATGCCCTCTCATTATGCCCTTGGGCGTAATAGACTGCTTCATATATCACATATGACAGATATAATTGACATATAATAGACAAATGAAAAATAAATACTTTTATGGAAGCAGTATTTGTATTTCTAACTCAAATACTTTCACAAATATTTAGTATTCGAATACTTCGCAAAGTATTTGGATACTTTGAGAAGTATTCGAATACTTCGCATAGTATTTGAATACTTAACCTTCCTTTTTTACCAAAAATCGACTACACCAAAATTTCTCGGGAAAACACTTTTTCTTATTAATTTTTGCGTAGCGTACTTTTTCGATTAGACCTCTCAATAAAAAGTTATGGACAAAAAACAATTTCTAAAAAAAATTCAAAGGGTTGTAACTTTTCATCTAGTAGCCCAATCTTCAAACTGTTTGAAATTATGGATTTTACAGGCCACATTCTATAAGAAAATTTTTTTTCCGGGTCGATCTGAGACAATTTTTTTTTCGGGGCTCAAAAAAAGGCACCTTCCTTTTTTACCAAAAATCGACTGCACCAAAATTTCTCGGGAAAACACTTTTTCTTATTAATTTTGGTGCGTAGAATCAAAAACAATTCGTACTTTTTCGATCAGACTTCTCAATCAAAAGTTATAGACTAGAAACCAATTTCGAAAGAAAATTGAAAGGGCTGTAACTTTTGAACTAGTAGCCCAATCTTGGAACTGTTTGAAATTATGGATTCTACAGGCCACATTTTATAAGAAAATTTTTTTCCGGGTCGATCTGAGACAATTTTTTTTTCGGGGCTCAAAAAAAGGCAGTGTATAACCTTCCTTTTTTACCAAAAATCGACTACACCAAAATTTCTCGGGAAAACACTTTTTCTTATTAATTTTGGGGCGTAGAATCCAAAACAATTCGTACTTTTTCGATTAGATTTCTCAATCAAAAGTTATGGACTAGAAACCAATTTCGAAAGAAAATTCAAAGGGCTGTAACTTTTGAACTAGTAGCCCAATCTTGGAACTGTTTGAAATTATGGATTCTACAGGCCACATTTATAAGAAAATTTTTTTTCCGGGTCGATCTGAGACAATTTTTTTTCTCAAAAAAAGGCAGTGTATAACCTTCCTTTTTTACCAAAAATCGACTACACCAAAATTTCTCGGGAAAACACATTTTCATTTTGGTGCGTAGAATCCAAAACAATTCGTACTTTTTCGAGACTTCTCAATCAAAAGTTATTAGAAACCAATTTCGAAAGAAAATTCAAAGGGCTGTAACTTTTGAACTAGTAGCCCAATCTTGGAACTGTTTGAAATTATGTTCTACAGGCCACACTATAAGAAAATTTTTTTTCCGGGTCGATCTAAGACAATTTTTTTTCGAGCCTCAAAAAAAGGCAGTGTATAACCTTCCTTTTTTACCAAAAATCGACTACACCAAAATTTCTCGGGAAAACACTTTTTCTTGTTAATTTTGGTGCGTAGAATCCAAAACAATTCGTACTTTTTCGATTAGACTTCTCAATCAAAAGTTATGGACTAGAAACCAATTGCGAAAGAAAATTCAAAGGGCTGTAACTTTTGAACTAGTAGCCCAATCTTGGAACTGTTTGAAATTATAGATTCTACAGGCCACATTCTATAAGAAAATTTTTTTTCCGGGTCGATCTGAGACAATTTTTTTTCGAGCCTCAAAAAAAGGCAGTGTATAACCTTCCTTTTTTACCAAAAATCGACTACACCAAAATTTCTCGGGAAAACACTTTTTCTTAGTAGTAGTATAGTATAGCCGATTCAAAATCAATGACACTGGAAGGTCAAACGTAGACGTGGGTTTGAAACTCTGCTAAGGAAGGTCAAACGTAGACGTGGGTTTCAAACTCTGCTAAATCAATGTCACTGAAGGTGAAATGTGGACGTGGGTTTGAAACTCTGCTAAAATCAATGTCACTGAAGGTGAAACGTGGACGTGGGTTTGAAACTCTGTTAAAATCAATGTCACTGAAAGGTCAAACGTAGACGGCGGTTCTTGCCTGAACGAAAGTGGTTATGAGCTAACGTCAAGGTCAAATGGTTCTGAACTTGGGTCAAGCAGGACCTTAAGTAGTTGTGATCGTTGCCTTGTAGATAATAGGTCGATTGTGAAAACTAAAGTGGTTGTGACATTGATTTTAACAGAGTTTCAAACCCACGTCTACGTTTGACCTTCCAGTGACATTGATTTTGAATCGGCTATACTATACTACTCTTAGTAATTTTGGTGCGTAGAATCCAAAACAATTCGTACTTTTTCGATTAGACTTCTCAATCAAAAGTTATGGACTAGAAACCATAATTTCGAAAGAAAATTTAAAAGGGCTGTAACTTTTGATCTAGTAGCCCAATCTTGGAACTGTTTGAAATTATGGATTCTACAGGCCACATTCTATAAGAAATTTTTTTTCCCGGATCGATCTGAGACAATTTTTTTTTCGAGCCTCAAAAAAGGCAGTGTATAACCTTCCTTTTTTACCAAAAATCGACTACACCAAAATTTCTCGAAAAAACACATTTTCTTAGTAATTTTGGTGCGTAGAATCCAAAACAATTCGTACTTTTTCGATTAGATTTCTCAATCAAAAGTTATGGACTAGAAACCAATTTCGAAAGAAAATTTGAAAGGGCTGTAACTTTTGATCTACTAGCCCAATCTTGGAACTGTTTGAAATTATGGGTTCAACAGGCCACATTTTATAAGAAAATTTTTTTTCCGGGTCGATCTGAGACAATTTTTTTTTCGAGCCTCAAAAAAAGGCAGTGTATAACCTTCCTTTTTTACCAAAAATCGACTACACCAAAATTTCTCGGGAAAACACTTTTTCTTAGTAATTTTGATGCGTAGAATCCAAAACAATTCGTACTTTTTCGATTAGATTTCTCAATCAAAAGTTATGGATTAGAAACCAATTTCACAAGAAAATTTAAAAGGGCTGTAACTTTTGAACTAGTAGCCCAATCTTGGAACTGTTCAAAATTATGGATTGTACATGTCACATTCTATAAGAAAATTTTATTTTCCGGGGCGATCTGAAACAATTTTTTTTTCGGGCCTCAAAAAAAAGCAGTTTGGTTTTTAGAATGTATCTTGAATGGTAAAATGACTTAACAGTGTATAAGATTAATTTTTAGCTTGTTAAACAAATGCATTATTATTGCGGTCCTTAATAGGGAGGGCTGGCTAAATAAAAAAATGCGCGTGTTGTTAAAGAGGTGTTGGAAAAAGTTTCTCCTTTTGGCGAGAAATAACCAAATTGTGTAAGACGAATTACTTCAGAGCATCGACGAACCCGCGCTTAGTTTGCACCGATCAGCGCTAAATCTTAGAGAATTTTCATATAGAAGATATCCAACCGAGATCGAGTAAAACGGTGCAGATATCCGGGGATCCAAAACTGCTTCGCAACAAACTTCCCGAAAGCCGATCTGCGGAAATTATATGTGAGCGTCGAAAATTTACATCTGCTTGGATGTCAGCGACTTGCTTTAATTGCAGTAATTAAAGAGGTTCATTTTTTCCATGACTTGCTTTTTATTGCGAAATGACTTTTATGGTAAGCGAATTACGATTCGAGGGGTCTAAGATGGCACACACTGTATTTATAAAACTTAAAATTTGATTTAAATAGTTTACAACCATAAAATATAAACCTTTCAAAATCACGTTTTTTTTCACTTTTTGGTTAATTATTTCATAGTAATGTTAATTTTGCACCATCTGATATTAACACTTCAACAAAAAGAACCTCAGGGGCTTAACGAATTTTTTTAATTTTTGCGCGTGGCGTAACTTCCATTATGAAGTGAATTTTCAGGTCAATGCTTTTAGAGGGCTGAGGAGCGGTTCACCATTTCATTTCTTCTTTTGGCTTGTATGATCATTTCGCATGCAATAAAATTCGAAAATTGTGTTACACATTTTAAAGATCGACTGTACATTATTATTCATGTTTTATTAGCAAAACAAATACCAGTAACTGCATTGATTGTAGGTATTTACCTTTCTTCATTACTGATCATGCATATTCTGCAACACAATATGAATACAACTAAAAATATGATTGACAAAATGAATCGAGATTTTAAGATGGAATCCTTTGAGGGAGTAACAAAAATGTCGATGAAACCTACAAATAAATTCGTGAACATGGTTTCGATCTATTGGTGCGTTGCTATAATAATTTGTGGTCAAATAATGGCATGCTTTCCACTGTACTCTAATAGTGGTAATGAAAGGTACGTAATACTAGAATGCCTAGGTATTTATATGTTAAATCTTCTGTGATGTAGAATATTGGCTGTACCGGCCTGGTTTCCATTTAATTGGAAAGATTCTTCAGAAGTATACGGATTGTTATTTGTAATACAGTGCATTGGACAATTTAATCTTACAGGCATTTATACAGTAGCCGATACCTTTATTATGTCGATGCTGATGACAACAGCCAAGCAAGTGGAATTATTAGGTATGTTAAAAATAAGGAAACATTTAGATTTATATGCCATATAATATATTTACACAATTCAAATAATTGCAGGTAGGTATTTATAGAAAATGGGGCTTTCGTTTTAAAAAAAAGTGTGTTATAGGTCACAATTTTGAGAACTGCATATACACCACGCTGCTGCAATTACATGTTGCTCAAGATGATGTTATTCAGTTCAGCCGGTCATTTAACCAATATGGAAGCAATTCAAATGTAAACGACGATTATTACATCACAAATACAGATTCTGTAATGCGAGTAGTACTAACAGAAAGCTTTCAAGTGAAGCTAAAGCAAAATTTGGGCATATGTGTGCGACATCATCAAAAAATGTTGAAGTTTGTTCGAAGGTTGGAAGACTTCATTTGGCCGTTAATGAGTATTAAGATGATGGCGTCAATGTTTTACCATATACTCATTTGTTTCATGCTGGTTTGTGTAAGTAGTCCCATTGCACATTTTTGTATTACCTACAATCCGGTTGGTTATTAGAACGGCGATAAAGTGTTTGTCTATACTTTGGCGCAATACGAAATAATGGCCGTATTTGAATTAATACTGGTTTCATACTTTGGCCAATATCTAATTAATAAGGTAAGCGTTGCACATAATTCACAGAAAGTAGAGGATGCTTTTAGGAAGAAGAACTTAAAAATCAGGTTTACAATTGTCCATGGTATATCTGCGATGTCAGCTTTCAAAAATCAATTGTTCTCGTTTTGAACGGATGCCTTTGTATACCAAGTTTATCTGTAGTAAAATTGGCACCTTTATCCCTTCCGACCGTATTAGCGGTAAGATAACTAACAACATGCTAATAAGTTTCGTAATATTTTCAGATGTTGAAATCATCCACTTCAATTTTTACAGTTCTACGACAAACACTCGATTACTAACATGGCACAAGACTTATGTATGCAGAAAACCATAGTAATTACTAATTAGTCAACAATGTGTAGAACAAGCGCGAGCAGCACCGTAGGTTACTAGAATGTCGGCGTATACGCAAACATTTGGAATATTATATACGAGTATATTGATGAAAAATCAAATAATATAATGGTTCTAATTTACATTCAAAGTTTTCTATTTACGATTTTTCTATATTTTCAAGTTCTAAAAATGACCACCAGAGGGTGTAACTGCCATCTGAAATTTTAAAATTCCATTTTCTTTAAATTTCGCATAATAAACTAAAAATTGTTTTTTCACATTTTTAAAGAGAACCAGTTTATCTATCATTTTCCTAAAAAAAGTTATTTCAAAAATTTAGCTACAAAATGCATAAGATGTTAAAGAGGCAATTGTGAGTTTAAAAAATATATATATCATTAAAAAATATATATAATCAGAACATTTGTGTTGCTCCAAAGGGACTAAGCGTATCCTGAACTTATTAAGTCACTTTAATATTATATGTATAATCGAAGGTATACAGAATTGCAGTGGAATTTTTTCGAATTTCCAAAAAATAATTTGGTGATTGTCACGTTCAAGGAATTTTGAAAAAATGTTTGCAAAATCGAAAATGGCATACCCAAAAACTAATTCTTTCTAGCTTTTATTGTTGCTGAGAAAAAATTAAAGAAGAAATGCAAATTTTACCACTTTTTTAAGGGTGGCTTCGAAACGAAACACGTTGGACTCTCGGTTTATTTCGAAAAAGTGCTTGATTTTAGAAAGTATTTTTTATATAACAATACGATAATTTTTGATTAAAAGTGTGCCATGTTAATTTTACATTTTATTTTTTCAATATGCGATATGCTCGTCTTTACTAAAAGAATCTTTTGTTTAAATTTCAAAAAAATATATTAATAAATAAGTAAGTTGCCATTGCGCAGTGAGCTCATGGGCACATTAATCGTCAAGATTTTTCTTGGTTGATGTACCAGAGCCACCGAATTCAAAAATAACGAACTAAATATTTTGAAAACTGTGGGACGAACGGACGGGGAAAGTGGCCATAATAGCGCGTTCCAACATGAGTTGGGAAATGCGCTAAAAATATTCCTCCAAAATTAATAGAAAGTGGACATCTTACATTGAAAAATTAATTTTTTCTATTTCGGTGTCACAATGATGATTTTGTACAACTGTTTTCGGCCTAAAACAGTTGTACAAAGACAGTGATTATAGTCGTTTTCTTTGGTAACTCATCTCTTAAGTTGGCAGTTACTAGTTAGTACAAGTAGGTACTTCGTTGGGTACTTCCATGAACTTTGTCAGTCTTAACTGTCAACCTAAAACTTAACGGCATAAAAAGTGTTCCCAACATAAAACATGTTAGTTCTAATGTTCCCTATAGTTTCTGATAATGATTTTTTTAATTAAATTAAAGCACCGAAATAGAAAAAATAGTATGAAAAACGCGTGTTACAATGCTTGATTGTAATACTCCTATCTTGCGGACACTCGTGGCTACGCTTCGCGTCGCCACTCGTGCCACAAGATAGTCGTATTACAATAGGTCGCATTGTAACACTTGTCTTTCAATATACTATTTCTGAAAGTGGTAGAATTGCTAAAAATTTTGATATTTGATATTACATTATAGGTATTAATTTTGACAAAAATTCTTGAGAATTGTTCTTGAGTTTTATTATCTTAAACTCTAATTGCATCAATATTAGTATCCCTCTACAACCCCATGCCAATTCCCTTAAAAAGCATCCTCAGTTACTTTTAAAGTACCCCTAAACTTCCCTTAGTTACAATAGTTACTTACTAAAAACGATTGCCCCCTTAACTTTTTCGAACATTTGCTAAACTTTTCTTTAACTCCTTAATTGTTAATACACTCTTTCTGAACTGTTAAACTTAAAAAAACTATTGTGTTCGTTCCAATTCCTTTTAATTCATATAGAATTTATTATAACTTGTCGGAGTACCTCACGGCTCTAAGTGTAACGTTGATGTCACTCGTTATCGATGTCCTATTAAATTCTATCAAACCAACTGTTGGGAAGGGCTTATATGTACACTGGCCCTAGCCATTGTGGAACAAGAGATATAATGAATTAGTGGATAGGGCAGCTACAGAAACAACTTTCTCGAAACAAATAAAGTGGTGCGTGCCCATATTAAAGTAGAAGTATGAAAATGCGAAATAATTTAATAATTTACTGGTAAAAAACAAACATTTAAGTAACACTGTATAAACAATATACCGATAGGATTAATATTAATTGTTAAACAAACTGCAAACACTACATCTTCTCATATTTTATCTCATTTCTGGATTGTTGGCCAAACCCAAATTTTATACTCGAATTCAAAACTCGCAAAAACTCCAGGTTGGAAATAAACCTTCTTCTCCTGTATTGGTTTTCTCGTTCCGGTTCCTCTTTTCTTGTATAGGTATTCTCGTTGTGATTATCTTCTAAGTGATTCTTCTTCAGAGCGAATTTTATTTTTAGCTCTTTTGTTAGATTTTCTCTGAGTTGACGGTGAATATCACATTGCTCCCTGATAATCTCTGTATCTTTGTTTTTTGTTATTTCTGTAAAGGGTTTTAACAATTCAGTTTTGTTGAAAGTATCTGTTTTTAAATCAAGACACTCATGTTTATCTTTTAGTGGATCGTTTTTATCTGCTTGCGTATAATTGTTGATTAAACCATGAAATCTCCATGAACAACAGCAACATGTTATCGGTTCGACTACTTGTATACATTTATCAAGTGCCTCAGTTTGACTCCAATTATCTTTGAGGTTAGAGGAGACCTGATTAGTGTTTTTCTTAGAATTCTTGTAATGTGCGCATGGTAACGATCGCGATGTTTGGATAGCTTGATCTTTATGTCCCTTTGGGTCATTATTAATGCCACTCCATTTTGTACACTGAAACAGTTCCCCAGAATAGTTACTGGTTTCAAAAACAATCTTTTGAATGTCGGGCCACTTGACTATGATGTACCCCAACAATGGATAGTAACTCGTTTCACTCTACAAAACAGCTTCACAGTACTATTTACAAATTAATAAACAAATTACCTGTATAACACTTCCAGGACGAAAAGGTCTAATAAATATACTTGCTGTGTAATATTTAACTAATACTAAAAGTGTCTGTTCACCTCCTGATAAGATAGTCAGTAAATGTAAAAAGTTAATTAAGGTTGTAATAAGCAAGAAATTACAGGGCGGGAGACGCAATAGCTCGCTGAAAGAGGCATCTAGTGTCTAATGTTACTCCAATGCAGATACCTACTTTGTTAGTTTATAGCATAATTCCTTATCATCGACAGCAACATTTAGTGCAAAATACTCTCCTAAATACTTGGCGCATGGTTTGGAGAGCCTCATCCAGTTATATTTTACATTACCGATTCGTTTCGGTAGAAGCTCCACCGGAAGCAATCCAATAAAATGCCGTATCACCCACAATAGTGCGCCAGGTGAACATTTAATATTTGTGAGGTCTTTTCCAAACGCAATACTTTCCTTTAACGCCAGGCGTTCCTGTAGAGTACCTTGAAAAAACCTGAAAGACCAAGTAGTATTTGAAAATGTGTTCGTAGCTGATTTACTTTATTGCATTTTCAACGGAGTATCCACATCCCTTCAATCTAAGGTAGCATATTTTGAAGACGTGCTAGAAATTTATCTCTGGATTTACCTAACAGAAGCAAAATGCTAACCTGAAATATAGGATGTAGTCCTGATGCATCTTGAAAATTCGTCTCCAACGGGACGCCGAAGCTTAACCTTAAAACCACAAAGATAGTTAATACCTAGGCATTTATTGTTTTACCTGTCGATGTTGAATTCAGAAATTGATAACGATGATTGCATTGACATTAGTAGTGAGGTTACTTTGACGTTTATTGTTTTATTAGAGAAATACCCACATCGGCGGCTCACCTTTTGTTTTTCCTAATGTGGGCCTTGGAAAGTTGAATTTATGTTTCTAATTGCGAAAGACCCTTATGCCTCTATAGTTTGAACAGTTCTCTTTATCCCCTTTTTTAAAGAAACCTATCCCTTTCTGAAGTCCTATGGTTTTGTTTCCCTTTTATACAGAGATCCACTAGTTTCTCGAATAACAAGCCTGGTGAATTTTTTGTTCACCTGTTAAGGGTACGGGGTTGTAGTATAATCTTCCAATATCGAAAGTTGGCAAACCGGGATCTGCTGCTTATTATTATTATTATTATTATTTATTATTAGTTACTTGTTGATATATAAAAAATTAGAATTGTCTGTCACGTTATATTAAAGTTCACATGTACAATTTGTTCACAATACACTTTTTAAAAGCAATTGGAATCGCTTATTTAATACACAACAATTGGCGACGAGTTGTAAACAGAGGAATACAAACCACATAAAAAGAAAAATCGTTAAAAATGGATGAAGCACAGTTTCAACAATTTATGAAATTGCTTAACGAAACCCAGGTAAGATTAATCGATTCGTATAAAGTACATCAGGCAACACAAAACATAGCGCAACAACCCATGGGAACAATAGTACCTTTTGAAAGTTTTGACCCATCAAACGAAAAATTCAACTGTTATATTGAACGTTACGAAAATTATACAGCCGTAAAAAATCTGCAAAACGATCAGAAAAAAGCTCAACTTCTAAATGCTTCGATCGGGCTTAATCATTATAATAGTTTAGCTGCATTCATGGGACCCGATAACCCTATAAAAGAGATTGGATATGAAGACCTAATGAAGAAATTTAGGGAGATGTTGGCGCCGCAAAGGAAACCTGTAGTGAGCCAACATTATTTTCTCAGCATAGCCCAAAAAGAACATCAATCTATAGCACAATTTGTAGCCACCCTGCGTCAATCTCTCTCTGAATGTGAATTTTACACTACATGTGAGTGTTCAAAGAAAATCTCCATTGCCGATATTTTTTGCGTGCACAATTTATCAGAGGACTCAGAGATAATTGGATTCGAGAGAAACTCTTGCAAACAGAAGATACCCCCAATTTTGATGGATTTGTGCCAAAAGCAGTAGCACTTGAAGCATTCAGAATAGAAAGCCACAAAATTACATTGCAACCATCAACTTCAGTCGAAATTAACTCTGAATCAACACATCGTATGTCCTATCACCAGCCTCGTAAAAG